TTTTAAACGAGAAAGTATCAACCCCATCTTTATGAACAAAATCAGGTAATACAAAGTTCTGCCTGGCTGGTGTGGCTCCATGGTAGAGCATCAACCCATGAACAAGAGGGGAGAAGGGATGTCCCAGTTAGATTACTGGTCAGGGCGCATTGATGTTTCTAGCTCTGCCTCTCCCATCCTCTCTTTGAAATCAATAAAAACATATTTTAAAAAATACAAAGTTCTGAGGCAAGGGAAGTGACCTAATCTTCTTTATTCCAGTTAAAACTATGTATTTGTTGTCATCCTTTTTGGGGGGGAGGGGACACAGTACACTGGTTTGTGAGGAAAGCAACCGAATAGTTAAAATATTTAAAACAAAGACCCTCATAAAAACCTCAAGAGACTATCTTGATTCACCTCTTTCCCAGTTATCTTTCTGAGCCCTCCATACATGTAGCCTGAGAGGGTGATGAGAACATAAATGCCTCAAGCAGTAATTAACTAGCAATTTCTCCAGATTAAACAAACCCAAAAGTCTACCTCCCAAACCGCCTAAAACCACCAGGACCCCAAAATGAAAGAGGAATGGCCCTGGCTGGGATGTCATAGTGCAGCGGTTCTCAACCTGTGGGTCGAAACCATCGGAAAACACATATAGCATATCAGATATTTACATTACAATTCATAACAGTAGCAAAATTACAGTTATGAAGTAGCAACGAAAAGAATTTTATGGTTGGGGGTCACCACAACATGAGGAACTGTGTTAAAGGGTCGCGGCATTAGGAAGGTTGAGAACCACTGTGAGCATCAGCCCACGCACCAAAGGGTCACAGGTTCGGGTCCTGGCCCGTCAGGGTGTGTGCAGGAAGCAACCGATTGATGTGTTTCTTTCACATCAATGTTTCTCTCTTTCTCTCCATCTTCCCTCCCTTCCTTCCTTCCTCCCTCCCTCCCTCCCACTCTCTCTAAAAATCAATGGAAAAAAATCGTGTCAGGATTAACAACAAAAAAATTAAAGAGGACTGGATTACAAGCTAAAACCTAGAGGGAGACAGACTTTTCCTAAAATCTTGTTCTATACATGCCAGTGATTACGATTCATAAATTACTTCTAGAAAAGCTAGATCTGCAAAAGCAGTCTTTAAAAGTGCATAAACAAAAAGTTAATGATTTTGCCTAATGAAGGGGTTTAATATCTTGATACATTTTACCCAGAACACTGTATGAATGACACAAAAGGTTATTTCAAGTACTCAATCTTTCTAAAATAAGTATATAGTAATAATAAAGTGGCTTTTACTTTGGCAAATGCTTTATTACTTCAGAACTTGTAACCACTGATAGTCGAGGGTACCAACACAACACCACAATGCCTGAGTCACTGGAAGATATATCTCTGTGGGTGGCCTTGGGTCCTGTCATTGTAGTCAGTATTCTTTCTCAGGACCTGGAATACAGCCCTCTCTGTGCCCCCTGCCCCAGGAATGCCAGCCATGACTACTCAATGCACACTAGTTAAATGAATGAACCAAATTTCCTTAGTTCAGTTTTAAATGAAGTATTCCATTCTAACGGAAACATTTTAGAACCTATCTGAACTGTAATAATTTGGTTATCTATACATATAAAAAGCCTAAGTGACCAGCCAACTGGCAGGTAGCTATATCGAGCACTGACCACCAGGGGGCAGACGCTCAACGCCAAGAGCAGAAACCACAGGCATGGAAACATGGAACAGACTGATGAATCTCAGACGGAAGTGGGGAGGGGGAGTGGCGAGGGTGAAAAGAGAATAACCAAAGATCTTATATGCATATTAGAGGCCTGGTGCAGGGATTTGTGCACTGGTGGGGTCCCTCAGCCTGGCCTGCGGGTATTAGGCTGAAACTGGCTAAGATCCCTTGAGGGGTCCCGGATTGTAAGAGGACACAGGCCAGGCTGTGGGACTCCACCAGTGCACGAATCCGTGTACTGGGTCTCTAGTTAATATAAGAAACTGGTGGTTGCCAAAGGCAGGGTGGGAGTGGGCAAAATGGGTGAAGGTCACAAGGTAAGTACATACTTCCAGTTATAAAATAAGTCATGGAGATGTAATGTACAGCATGGTAGCTACAGTTAATAATGCTGTGTTGCATATTTGAAAGTGTATGAGAGCAAATTTTTAAAGTCCTTATCACAAGATTTAAAAAAAATTTTTGTTGCTCAGCCAGTGTGGCTCAGTGATTGAATGCCAACCTATGAACCAGGACATCATGGTTCAATTCCAAGTAGGGGGCATGCAGGAGGCAGCTGATTGATAATTCTCTCCCTTCCTCTCTGAAATCAATAAAAAAGTATTTTTTTAAAAAAATTGTTAACTATATATAATGACATATGTTAACTAGACTTGTGATCATTTCAAAACACATACAATATCAAATCATCATGTTGTACACCTGGAAATAATGATGTCAATTACACTTCAATTAAGTTTTAATAAAAAATAAGCAAATGTTCTACAATAGCTTTTCACTAATCTATTTTCAAAAAAAATTCAATCCCATTTTTAGCACTGCCCCAGAGTTACCTGGATCTATTTATTGTATTTAATCAATATCTAAAGCCTAAATCTTGCCCTGGCTAGGTAGCTCAATAGGTTAGAGTGTAGTCCTGATAATCCAAGGTTGTGGGGTTTGATCTCCAGTCAGGGCACACACACGAATCAACCAATTAATGCTTAAATGAATGGAGCAACAAATCAATGTTTCTCTTTCTCTCTTTCTAAAATCAATCAATAAATTTAAAAATTAAAGTCTAAATCTTGATGTACTAAGTACTTACCTGTGGTTTTTTAAAAAATAATTATTGTTGAAAGTATTACATATGTCCCCTTCCTTTCCCTATTTCTGTGATTTTTAAACTTTTCCTTCCAAGGGAATTAAAAGTGATTTAAGACTGCCAAATCCAACACCTGCCTCTATAATGTTCCATATTTTTCAAAGAAAAAAAATGCCTCTCCATTTGTCCTTATTGAAACATCATTAAAGTTAAAGACAGAAAAAAATATCCAGCATTTGATTAACATCATCCAAGTGTCATTCACTTACCCTCATTTATTTCTCAGAACCATGCTATGTGAAATAGGTCTTTTGAAAGTGAAAAACCATGGGCCAATAGTTAGGCAAAAGTATTGAAGATCAAACCCCTAAGGGACAAAGATGCATTCAAATACAGCAAGGTTTGGCCTCTCTGTGCTTATCTCTAATACAACTGTTCACACGAAAACTAAATAAATATAAAGAAATCTGGTATTAGCAACTGTGTTCTATTCAATCTTCACTCCCATAACTTAATTTTCATTATTAGCTTTAATTAAAACAGAAATAAAAAACTAGTAGTTTTATGTAAGCAAAGATTCTTTTAAACTACTTTTATTATCATTGAATTATTATCAAGTATTTTAAAATTATTTCATAGTGTATTTTTTGTTTATTGTTTGTCTAAATAAATCTTACCAAATTTTAGCACTCAAGATTTTTATATGTTTTGGAGTTTTGCTGGAAAGTAAATGCCTATTTGTAGGCACTAATATGCAAAAAGTTCATTTTCATATATGATCATGTACAATCTGCATTGCTCTAACAAACAGCCCCTTATAATGGCAATTCACTGTAAGAACACTTTAAGTTTGACACAAAGTTCTCAATAGTTTATCAAATAATAAAAAAAACAACTTGTTTTACTTACAATAAATGCCACATATATTCTTAGATGCTGCAATGGTTACTCAAAGCTTCCTTGTGGCAGCTTCATAGAGGATGTAGAACAACTATGGAGAGATACTAATTCTCTGCAATACATGGTTAAAGTGACTCATGTCTCACTTAGAAATGGAAATCCCATTGACCCTTTCAATATACGGGCAGATAAGGACACAGATTATCATGCAAAAAGTTAGTCTAAACCAAGTCAGCAAACTCAGGGCCAGAAAATAAAAGTAATTTCAGCTTTGTGGTCATATGATCTTTCTGTCACAGCCACTCAACTCTGCCATTGTACAAAAACAGCCACAGACAATGTGTAAGTGAATGAGCATGGCTGTGTGCCAATAAAACTTTATTTATGGACACTAAAATTTGAATTTCATATAATTTTCATGTGTCACAAAATACAACTCTTTTGATTTTTTTTTTTTAACCATTTAACAATGTAAAGATCATTCTTGGCTCACAGACATACAAAAACGGGTGGAGGGCTGGATTTGGCCTGTGGGCAATACTTTTCCAACTCCTGGTCTTGATATATACTCTTGACATTTATTTGCCAGCAATTATGTAGCTTCTACTTCATTAATAAGTGAGAACAATAATACAAAATTTTGCTTAAGGCTTTGTCTAAACTGCTGGTGTACCATTTTTTAAGATAAAAATTTAAAAATCACTTATGTCAAAATTAAATATACTGCTAGAGGAACTAGCTAAATTTCATTTATTTCTTGATGTCACTTCTATACAGCTCTCATGCACATAGCAGGGAACACACCTTCATTTCACAATGGCATCTGGCTGCACTTCTGATTATAATACAGCAAGTGCAAGTTCACTTGGAAATGTACATTTATATACCCTATATAAATTAAATACGTTATACTAGGATGTGTAATAGCAAAAGCATGATTTTGAAATTCCATGACTAGACCACTTCTACTTGGCTTAATAAAAAATGTACCCAATCATTTAAATCTGGCCATTTGGGGAAACATGACAGAATATAAAATGTTTGTCATGTAAAATGACAATTTACCTTTTCATAAAATAATCTTTAAACTTGAAACCTTTTTATTGAATTGTTATATGGATATATATTATGATAGCAAGAAGATTTAGCAACTTGGCTAATTTTTTAAAAATTTGTTCATGAAGTAACATTATTCTTGTTAAAATAAAACAGTAGCTAAATGAATCTTTTCTTTTTACATTTAATGTGTTAGGTTGCTTCCAAATCAACTTCCCAGCCAAAAAAAAGAAACAACAGTCTGAGACTCACTTGAGTGTTTAATTCAAACCTATATTTTTAAGTTTCTAAAATGTTGATCCACAGACCACTTTCGTTACACGTGTACCAACGAAAACAAAAGGCAGAGAATCACTGCCATCCCTACAAAAGGAATGGCTCCTTTTCTAACATTCTTTAAAAATATACATTGTACAGTCTTTGCGCCTCACCAAAGGTGGCAATGTAATAAATACACTGGCTTAGTTCTCCTCCCTGCTCAGCAAGGTCCACCAACTACCTGTTATAAGCCCTCTCCTTTTTGGATTTCTCCAGGGCTTTGTCCATTGTTTTCTCGTTCTCCCCTCGACACTTGGGACAGTACCACTTGCCCTTTGGTTTATGATTCAGTCCTACACAGGAGAAGTGGAACCACTCGATGGGGCACTCGTCATTGTCACAGCCGATCATTTCTCCATAGGAGACCTGATTGCACAGACAGTACGTGGGCTCGTTCGGGTCGATGGGAAGGTCTGCAGGGGATGCTTCCCTCTCTGCTTTGGCCTTGGAGCGTTTCTTCTTCTTGGAGGCCTTTGCTTTCTTCTCCTTAGGCGTTCCTGAGGTGATGTCATCATGGTCGTGATTATTGGCTGCATTCTCCCGATTTTCATTGTTGCGCTGTCTCCGAGACCTCTTGTTGTTGGGCTTTTCTGCCTGTGTGATTGTCTCGTTCTTGGACTTGTCCTGGCCGGCGTTGCCACTGTGGCCAGTGGTGTCGTTGACCTCTAGGTGTGCCTCAAGGAGTCCCACGTGACTGTCCACCTGCCTGGTGCTGTTCTCCACCAGCTCCACCATCTGACTCACAATCTGGATCTTCTCGTCGCCCAGCTCCTGGCTGCGGATCAGGGCTCTCTGAATGCAGTGCAACGCTCTCCTCTTCTGGTTGCTGTCCGTCTCCCGCTTAAACTTCTCGTAATACTCATCTAGCTCCTTCAGGATTTCTGCAAAGGAAAAAGTAAGCATTACACCCACACTATAACATTATCAAGCTTTTTATTTAATTCTCTAGTCTATGAAAATGTAATTGCAAAGCACAGAAATAATCAATGCAAGGCTTCTTAGTATGAAAAATCTTATAACTTGTATACCCTCTCTCAGCAGATCTTTTCTTTTTCCTGCTGAAAAAAATCCCTGGAACTAAATACAAATGTCAACACAGTTCTCATTTAGCATAGTGCCAGTCAAAGTTCTCCAAGGGACTCTGTGTGTGTGCAGAAGCGTAAGTAACAAATACTCCTGGGATGGGCAATTAGGGGGAAAGTTCACATTTAGATGAAGCGCTGGGGTCCAAATTTTTATTTTCAATAAAATTTATGACTATGTTCTATATTTCCATTGTTTTTATTCAAATATTTTCTAATAATTTAAAGGCCTTTATTCCTTTTATTTTATGTACTAATGTCCACAATACCCTATGAGATTGCAGCATGTATATAATATTACTTATGCCCTTGCTGGTGTTCAGTAGTTAAGAGTGTTGGCCAAAATACTGAAAGGTCTTGGGTTCAATTCCTGGTCAAGGGCATGTACCTGGGTTGCAGGTTCCATCCCTGGCCCAGGTTGGGGCTCAGGCCAGAGGCAACCAATCAATGTGTCTCTCTCATATCAATATTTCTTTCTCTCTCTCCTACTCCCTCCCTCCCTTCCACACTTTCTAAAAAGCAACAGAAAAATATCCTCAGGTGAGGATTTATAAAATAATAAAAATGTTACTTATAACCCAGAGCTTCAATTTATCAGTCGCATCATTTTCATCCTAGCATGTATTACTGAAAACAAGAAAGGTTTGACAATCTGGCCTTGCTGATTTTGCTTTTGCATTTACTACTTAAATAATAATACGTTTATAGCTACACATTGTAAAACATAACTAAAATAAATTAAAAATAAATGTAAATCTTCTCAGACAGGTAGGAAGACAGTATATGTGAATTTAAAATGTAACTAGGCAATTTCTCAAGAAATAAAAGCTGTTAAAAAATCTGACTGAAATAAGGAAAATAAACATTCTTGCCAAAAGCCTAAATACACAGGTAGAAATTTCCAGTTATTTCCCCAAATAGTACAGTTAGATAGTATCAGACTTTTCTCCTGAAAACCTTTTTCAGGCTCTCAAAACCAGGGAATCCTACTCTCCATCATGAAGTGTGTGTGTGGAAATGTGGGGAGAAAATGTATAAAATGTGGCTATCACCCAGGTTTAATTTCCAAATAGTTATAAGGGCTAAATCTAAAATTAGGGTAAACATATGAACTTAGGCAAACACTGAAGTTTAGCTAAACTGTATTATTTTCCAGGCTATATTCTTAAGCTAAAATAGCTCTGAAGATATTTTAGAGAAACAATGTAGACCAGTGGTTCTCAACCTTCCTAATGCCGCGACCCTTTAATATAGTTCCTCATGTTGTGGTGACCCCCAATTTTATTGTTACAAATTGAACATAATTAAAGCATAGTGATTAATCACAAAAACAATGTGTAATTATATGTTTTCCGATGGTCTTAGGTGACCCTTGTGAAAGGGTCGTTCGACCCCCAAAGGGGTCGCGAACGCTGATGTAGATAGTCTCTCACCAGGAAGGAGGAGTGCCACAGCCTTACAGTCTCTTATAGTAATTAATTCTGAAAATAAATAGCTATGCCTCACTTAACCCAAGTTCTATTTCATCTTAAAATGAGTTTCTGCCATTTATTTTTAAACAAACTGTACATTACAAAACTATCATTTGGTTTAATAAGTAGCCAAATTTCTAGAGACAGTTTTAACATTTCATAGAAAAGAGGACAATTCTACCATATGGCTAATTTAAAATTTTAATAAATACAGCTTCTTTTATATCACAAGCAAGCTTACATTCATGTGAAACCTCTCTTGTAGGAAAGAAACAAACATCACAACATTAGCAATAAGTAATTGTTACCTTCATAATGGCATGTATTTCTTGGATGCCCCAAGGAAATACTCTATTAACAAAGCCGTGCAAGGACAAATGTCTGTAAGGAGGAACACCAGTGCTAACCAGGGAGGCATCTGGCCAGGATACCCGTTTCTTCAGCCCCATCAGCACAAACGGCTGCTGACCCCTCTCATCTAGAAATGCTCCACAGCAACATTACTGTGGGAAAGCAATGGTACTACGAAAGAAATGTTAAGGTTTAAATAAGAATGCAGCAAAATTTAATCTGACCTTTCCAATGATCAGAAATGTTTTTTAATTTTTACATAAGGTTTGCACTTAAGTTCTTTATGAAGCTGACTTCCCATGGTGGGTGGTTGGGTGGGATTTAAAAAATAACACTTGAAAAATAATTCAAAAATGATTTTGAATCCAATAATTCAAGAATAACCTCAAAGACCATTTAAAATTGGCAGATTATAACCCATCCTTATGAATTAATCTCCAACTGATGCACACTAAGCAAAAGACTATTAAGCAACTTTGACTTGCAACACAGGTCTTTATTAATTTTTTAGAACTATGCTGCATTTATAGTAAGTGCCAACCCAATGTGTTATGACTATTATCATGACGGGTTAGGCTTTACAGCTCACTCAACAGCACTGGCTTCAGAGGTGCCGGGTGGGGTGGAATTCATTCTCTCCGCAGGAGCCAAATAAGGGCCGCAGCATGTATTCACTGAACAGCGACAGGTTTCTTCATAGGAGCAAAGAAGGAAGTACATATCTTTAAGGGGTACGACGTGGATGTTAGGACATTTTTAGGAGACGCTTTTTCCCCCGTCATCTAGGAAAGTGCTAATTGACAGTGCCAGTGACCACGAATTCTGCAAAGGCCGCCAAACACAAATACCCCGGTTCTTCAATCATTGCATTACCCGAGCCATCCCGGGCACCGACAGCTCCCGGGTCACTCACGTTTCCTCCGTTCCTCGCGGCCGCTGGCCTGTCCCGCGGGTCCCTGGGGCCTGGGTGGGAGGCATATGCTTCGTCCTCGGTGGAGCCAGGAGCACAGCTGACAAGCCTTGCCCCCGGCACCGGGACGCCGCCATTGCTCAGCGGCCGGAAGTTGCCTGGCTCGGGTCCCCCAAGGGTCAGGGCGGGGCCATCACCAGGCCAATGGGGAGGCGTCCAGCGGGCGACGCACCCCGCCCCGGGAACCACCGCCTATGGGGTGTCATCGGGCCGCAGGCGGAGGCCAGACGGGGAGCAAATCACAGAGCAGAACTGGGGAACGCGGCCCACCCCGCAGCGCCGATAGCCAATCCAAGGCCGGAAGCCGGGCGACCCGAAGACATTCAAATCAATTCAACCTCCTCCCTCCTCCCAGCCCCTCCACGAAAGAGAAAAAAGAAGGCCGCGGAAACACAGATCGGTGCCAGTCACAGCGCAAGGCCCGCCCCCATCCGGCCCGGCGACCAATGGCTCAGGAGCGGACTGATAAGGACATTCCATGGGGACGCCACAGCCAATCAAAAGAGTGTCGAAGCGGGACGTTCACAATATGCTAATAGGCCTCTTATAAATGTCGCTGCGAAACCGAGTTTCTGGTAGAGCGCGCAGGGGCGCCTCGCGGAGAGGAGACTTCTGTGCGTTTCGCGGCTGCCGAAGGCTCCCCACCTCCCCCCACTCTTCCGTTTCCCTGCTGCGCAGCCTTGTAAACAGGAGTAAACTCCGAGTGACGACCTACGTTCCAAACAGAGCCCCCCATGCCATGCCTGACCTGGCAGGAAAGTTTCCCCAACAGCCAACAATTCCCAGCGGACATGAGCCCTCCGCTTCTCCCCGGCACTCTGGGCGGCCGGGGCTGCAGACGACGACCCACAGGTCCTCTCCCGTGCCAGGTTCCTCTCCAAGCCCCTGGTCTAAGCGCACGCCCCCCGAGCACAACACAGATGGTCGACCTGCCTCATCCTCCCCTCCCTTCCCCGCCGTACGCACGGAAGAAAGCCCTGGCCCTCCGCAAACTACACCCGGCCGTGTCGTCCCCAACTCGGTGTCCAG